GGGGCGGGGAGGGGAGCTGAACCACAGTGATGGTGACCACAGAAAGCGCCGGTACCACCAAGCTTTCTGACCCGCGGACTCAGAAGGCCTGCCATGGCTGGGGGCTTCGGACTGCAATACTTAAAGCCCAGCAGGCGCTGGCACAGGGCACTCGTGTGTGTTACCCACAGGAGGTGGCAGGCACCCCCACAAGTGTCAACGCCTCTGGTTTCAAGTGCAGTGCTGGGGTCTGAGCCAGTGGCCATGTACATGCTAATGCTAGGTGAGCTCTCTGCCACAAAGCCATGCCCCAAACCTGACTTCCTTGTACAGCGCGAGCCTGGGGACCCTGCACTCCTGAGTGGGATCAATGATAGCCAGGACCCCCTGGCACACTGCACCAGGCAAGCCCAGGGCTGGGGTTCTGACCCCTCCGTGGGTCTGTACAATACTGGTGGTGTCACTTAGGTGCACGGGTCTCCAAAGGGCAATCGGAGCCAAGAGCATAAGAAAGCACTCTTTTTCTCCCTCCACTGCCAGAAACTTCCGGTACTGCGCTCCCACAAGAACAATGCCACCTGATTTCAGGCCACCCTGATGCACCTGCACATCTACAAAGGGCTCCTTAGTGGGAGTCCCACAGCAGCCAGGTCCCTTAGGAGCTGCTTGTTCTCTTGTGGTGTGACTGCATTTCCTACAGCTTAGAAGCACAAACGTTTCCAGTCAACACTAGGCCCGACTCAGAGCTGGAGCCCTGGGTGGCTCCTCGCACAGAGCACAGGACCTGGTTCTGGGAGGGCCATGATGGACCGCTTACCATTGTTCACCTGGCCGTGCACTGCCGCAGGGACCGGCACCACGTGAGTCCCATTCTGTGTGACGGTTTTGATTGGAAGCTGGTGTTGGCCCAGAGGTGCCTGTTGTACTATGGTGACCGTCTGGACAGGGGTGGCCTGTGACGTCTGGATCACCCGGCTGGCAGTGCCCAGTGTGGCGTGGCTAATCGCAGGAACGGGTTCTACTTTCACTGAAATGAAGAGATGACACCAGTTAGTATTTTGGGAGAGCTGATAAAAATCTCACCAATTTAAACTTTAAAAATGAGATGGCTCTAGACCTGCTATAAAATGTCTTTAAAAGCAAGTGGCAGACCAGGGTCAGAAAGAAGGGTCCTGTGATCTTCCTTCTAAGAGGCTGCCAGTGCCAGCTCTGCGCTTTGTCCCCACCCCACCGCCCTCCTTGCTGCCCCGTCCCAGGCTGCCCTCATGCTCACCTTTGACCTCTCTGTGGTCTCCATTCTCATGTGGCTCTGTCTTAGGAGGGGCCAGCACGGCTGCCTGAGTGACCACAGCCTGTCCAGCAACTGTGTACGTGTTTGCTGGGGCCAGTCCAGCCACACTGGTGACCGACACGGCTGGTATCTGGTGGACAACGTGGACTGTCTGCACGACAGGTGGCTGGGAGGCGGAGGTGGCCACGGCATAGGTGACGGGCTTCACGGCCGGGGGTAGCTGCCGCTGCACAGTGATGAGGACGGGCTGACTGGACAGAGGTGACCCTGGGGGAGACGGGCAAGGCTGAGGCACATGAGCCCTGCACACTGATGGCTGACAATGTGTGTTTAATTTGAAACACAGAATGTGGCCGGCTTCACCCTGAAGTTACTAACAATGAGAGAACCTGCAGTATCTTAATTCCTGTATCTAGCTGTTAAAAACGCAAGCTCTCCCCTGTCTGGATTTTGGTTCTTCGTGAAAGCAATCGTACCTGGCAGGCCGGACCCAGCACCAACATCTGCACGCAGGGGAGCGAGGCTCCAGGCTGTCACAAGCCTCTGGCCTACTGCTGCAAGGATGCAGCAAAGGGGCACAGCGAGGCCGAGGGCAGGGCCAGGGCTCATCTCTGCATTGCAGACTTTGTGTTTCTCTGAGAAACATTCTCATCCTAATCACGACATATAGGTAAACTGTGAAGTGTTCGGCTCGTCATTTAATGCAGACATTTTTGTTTCCAGTCAGTGTGTAGTTTGCACAATTTATGGATTTTCTGGGAGGGTGGGATGTTCATGAGTTTTTGAATGATGAAGCAACTAAACAGATAAATTCTAAATTATTTTAGGACTCTCCATCCAGTGCCACCTAGAAAGACACTGACGGTGCTACTAGTTTTCCCGACCCACCGCGGAACGGAGCAGCCCAGGCGCAGCCTCTGCGGACCAGCAGCCCGGCCTTCTCCCGTGCGCGTGCGCAGCTCACCTGGCGCGCTCTGGGCAAACCGCGCCTCCTGGATGACGGCGAGCTTGGGCTGGGAGGCGCTGGGCTCGGGCTCCAGGGGGGCCGGGGAGCCTTCCCGGTCCCCTTGGCT